GATGAGATATGCAGCAAATAAATTTGACAAATAAAATAAAAATAAAAATATTTTAGCAGAAATCAATGCAATTTTTCAGCACAATCATCTTGTCTGCTCTACTACTGCTGCTTCGTATATGTGTGGGTATATCAGTGGTGGGATTCAAATATGTGAACAACTGGTTCTCTGTGTGGATGCCACTTCTGGAAGTCCATTCTGGATCTGGGCAACAAAAAATTAGCTATCGGTTCTGCCAAAGTGGTGAACTGGCTGAATCCCACCATTGGGGTATATGCATAATCTTTTATCATGTTTATGTAGTGTATGTTGAGGTGATTACTCTTTTGAGAGCTGAGTGCAATGAAATTTCATTTTAATGCATGCCAATTAGTGTACATTTAAAGTGAGAATAATGTTTCTATTCTGTTCCATTCCAATTATTCTATTCTATTCTATTCTATTCTATTCTATTCTATTCTATTCTATTCTATTCTTATAAAAGGCCTATTTTTCTTCCCTGCAACACAACAGCAAGGAGAAAACTGAGGGAGAAATAAAAGAAAACTTGTTTTTTTTTTTCAAACCAGCCAATTAAAATGCGACTCTGAGCTCTGGGCGAGCATTAATTAGCGGAAGGCGGGGACGCTGCACCCGCGGTTTTTTTGATAGACGTCAATTGGATTCCAGAAGTGACGCCGCGCTGAGCGTTGACCAATGGGCTTGGAGAATTCATTTACGTCAGTCGCTCAGAGCTACGTCAACACTTCCCCTCTTTAATATGAGACCCCTTTGATATTATTGGTAGTTCGATAGCAGCCTATGACAATGCAGCTAAAATGATTGAAGGGAATTCTAGCCATAGATACAGCTAGCATTGAATATGGGTGGGACCAAAATGAACTGCCGACCAGGGAAATCACGGCAGCTGAGGGAAACAGTTAATATGATAGTCCCGTGGTCTAATCTCACAGCGAGCTGAGTGACAGCCCATATAGCCTATCCTGTCTTGGAGCCTCGCCTCCAGCTTACTTCATCTTCCCCCAGCCCATCTTCGCTGTGCGCTGATTGGCTTGGCGCTTGATCGGTGGCCAATGAGCGCGCCCGGGGTAGAAGACTCATACCCCAAGAGAGCGGAGGAGTGGTGAAAAAGAGTGGGCGGAGCTCTGGACAGACCCGGCTGCGCGGCGCAGAGGGCAGGTGGGGCGCCATTTTGTGAGGCGTTCGGAGCGCGAATGAGGCGAGCGTAGCTCTGAACAAGAGGGAGAAGCGGCGTACGGTTGCAAAATTATACATTTAGATAAGCAAAGCGGCCGTGTGCTGGATCTGGGGCCTCCCGGTGAGTTCGTTGCCTGAAGAAAAACGCCTGAGGGAAGAGTGGCGACGGTTCTTTTTTTTTTTCCCGCTTGTGGGGGAGGGGAGTTCGCATAATGGTATTGCCCACATGCCCCCCCTCAGTTTTGGCCTCCGCGGTGGTTTTCCCTGGCCGGTCTTCTGGACTCGCGCCTCTTCCTCCTTCCACCCCCTATGCAATGTATTGGTATCGTCCAAGCCGATGGGTCTTCGGTTACTTCGGGAGACACCATTATGCTGGGCACAAAGGGCGGGGGGGGGAGAGGAGGAGAAAGACTGCTTTAATGGTTCTCCCCTTCTGCGAAAGAGAGGAAAACGTGTGTCCGTCTGCGTGTTTGTGTACGGTTATGCGTTTGTGGGGTTGTAAAAAAAAAAAATAACTCGCGGACGGAAGTTATATTATCCGAAATGGAAGGAAACGCGTAAGGTGCGCGCGCAGATCCCATTCGCAGGTATGGCTGCTGGATTTAGGCAGGGAACACAGTCTGGATGGTGCCTGGCCTGACTTTTTATTGGCGTTCAGGGCCGATTTTATTCATCTAATCCGGATTGACAGGATGCCAAATGCCTCAGCAGGTGGGAACAGCAAACTGAATCTCAGAAAACTTAAGCACTGACAAATCCAGCTTGGATGGGAGACCACCAGGAGATCCCAGGGCTGTAAAAAAAAAACCTAACTTTAAAAAAAAAACTTTAGAAGAAGGTAGTGGCAGACAGTCCTCGTGTTGGTAAAAAAAAAAATACCTAGATATTTCTTGGTAAGGCAATGTGATTTTTTTTACCATTATCAAATTGTGACTTTGGTAGATTTTTTTTTAAAACACACACACTCTAAATCAGTGTTTCTCACCCTTGACAATTTTAAGGCATGTGGACTTCAACTCCCAGAATTCCACAGCCAGCATTGCTGGCTGTGGAATTCTGGGAGTTGAAGTCCACATGCCTTAAAATTGTCAAGGTTGAGAAACACTGCTCTAAATAGGCTGCAGTAGGCTGACTTGTGGATGGTAAAATGCCTAAAAGCAATCAGAATTTGTACACTATGGAGCTATCTAATGTACATTTGCCTTGGTTGGAGCAATAAAAATAGGTACTAGTTCATGTATTACTATCCTAGACATTTTAAGGATTTGGCACTTTGGTAATGCAGGTTCAGAAAGACTAAAACAACAAATGCTTTTTTTTTTTTTAAGATAGTTTTTCATGCTGATTTCTGTAAGTGACACAAACTTCTGAAAGGCCTGCTTTGTATTTTTTTAGCAAAGGCAAGTTTCTGAATTACTCAGCTATTTATTTGATAGAAAGGGATTGTGCTGTATTTGCCAGCTAAAATGATGCAACTATTAATGCATTTCTTTGTTGAACTTGTGCTTAATGTTTTAAACTTACCTGATCCAGTTCACACCAGTGTCAGATTTAGGAGGAGGTGTGTAATTTTTTGAAAACCAGTCGGGACAGGGTGGAATATTTTGGACCCTGCTATTCTGCCACTTTGCTTGCAGTCAAAGTTTGGGAAGCAGTTTGTATTGCAGGCTTATTGATTAGTCTCATGTTGAAAGCCATAAGGCCTTTGTGTTCTTGTTTCATAATAAGACAGTGTCTTGGCAAGAAAACCATGTCAGTCTTAATACTTTTCAAACTATGGTTGCAGATGGCCCAGATACAAGAATTCTGCATGTGTTAACACAGCTCTAGGTTACCATGCTACCAATCCGGTTATTGAAGTTGGAACATAGGAGGTGGAACTGTAATGCAATAGCCTAAGAACACTCTGGGTAGTCCTCGGCTTACAGCCATGCGTTTAGTGGCCATTTAAAGCTTTTTTTTTTTCCAGCACTGAAAATGTCTTATGGTACGATCATTGTAGCATTTCCATGGTCACATGGCCAAAATTTGTACACTTGGCAACTGGCATGTATTTATGACGGTGTCCCAGGGTCGTGTGATCCCCTTTTGCAACCTTCTTACAAGCAAAGTCAATGGGGAAGCCAGATTCACTTCAACTGGGAGGCTAACTTGACAACCTTGCACCTTGCTGCATTTGGAATCACATTGATCATTTGCAAGATAGGCTGTTTCTCCCCCAGAGAAAACAACACTGAGGAGATGTCGAGGAAAAGTGAAATTAATTTAAGTAGGTAAGGATGAAAACATAGATGGGTAACTTCTCTACCCCAATTACCTGGCATTTGAGTGGTTGGTGAGTGGGAAGGTAGATAAAAGGTGGTGGTGGTGGGGGGTGTGCTGATATCTGAATTCTAGAAATTTCTATTGCTTGGGACTTTTACCACTGTACTGAGAACCTAGCAGACCAGTGCATGCACTTTTCGTATAGACCTCGTTTCTGTTCCCTTGATCCTATTCAGTATGTGTGTGTGTGTGTGTAATGTGTGCATATGCTCAGTTTTCCTCAACTTTGCTTTAGAGATCTGTATGAGCTACCTATCACAAGCTTACAGGTAACTTTGAAGTCGTCCAGCACGACTCGTTGTCAACAAACAGAAATGGCAAGATCAAGGTGGCACCTTAATCACACCTGAGTGGCTGCTGTGAGCTTGGAGTAGCCACATGGGACTGGAAGCTGGTGTTCTCTCTGGGGTGGGGGAAACTGGGAGATGTGGGCAAGGTTTCTGGGGTATCCTGACTCATCCTGTCCCTTCTCCTTTCACAGGGCAGCAAGGAGAAAACCCCCAACCCTTCCTTCACTGGCGCTCAGCTTGTTTTTGTTTTATTTTTATTTTTTTAAAACCCCTACCCAACCCACTACACGCACACCCTCTCCCACTGTCTCAGTACAAGCTATTTTAATAAAATGGTGCCTGTGTGGCCCAGTGTTGCTTTGCTCTCAAGCAAAAAAAACTGGATTGAAAAATGTAATTTTGGGGGGGGGAAGAAATCTTTTCCCCCCCCTGCAGCAGCTGGGTTAGAGGAAGAATCTTTTAGCCTCGTAAGAGCTGGCCTTTCTTAGGCATTTTTAGAATGAAATGGTGTTCAAAAGGGCTTGGATTATTTTCTGCCAGGAACTCTCTCCTCTGCCAGGTTTTGCCGTAACCGTGGCTGGAATGAGAGCTTGAAAGGGGGGGAAAAATGGACAAAAAGAAAAAAAAATCGTTATTGACTTTGACCTTTTTACACCTCCCGTTTTTCTAATCTGGGCTATTTTTATTTTTGTTTTTTTACAGTGAGATTTTTTTGATCTTCAGCTACAGTAAGTTATTCCAATTTTTTTCCATTTTTTTCCTGCCTTTCCACTGATTTCCTTTTTATCGTTGTTACTAGTTAACGTATTGATATTATTGCTGCAATAATGGTGGTGACTGTGACTATGATGATGTGTTGCTGATGGTTTTGATTTAAAAAAAAATGACTGCTGATTTTTAACCAGATGAAAATGGAGTTTTTCTGAATGATCCTAACTGACTCTGGGCTTTTAACCCCTTGTGGGGGGGAAAAACACACACAAGGTTTTTAAAACTTTTTTTTAAAAAAATAAAAAAGTGGATTGATCACGTTAACTCTTTTTTTCCCTCCCTCACTGATCGCCTGGCTGCCAAGAACAGACCCTGATACCTCTCCAGAATTTACTTGAAACAACTCTGGAAGTTCCTACGCTGTTTTTTGTTTTTTTTTTTAAATTTTTTTTTTAATTTTTTATTTTTAATATTTTATTTCTATTCGATTTTTCAATTGTTGCTGCACTATGTCTGTGGTGCTGATCACTCTCTACTGGTGACGGCCTCTCCCTGGTCAGATGCCCAACTTGGCCCTTCATGCCCTCTCAGTTCCCATCCTGGTCTTTCCCTCTACACCATCCCCCACCCCTTACAAGCGCCGTCACGGATGCCCAGTCTGGAGTAACAGAGGCAGCTACCAGCGGAGCCTTGCATGGAGCAGGGGGCATACCCATCTTGGCTGATGGTAAGGGCCTGCATTGGCTTCATTCCAGGCCATCCCCTCTTAAAGGTCTTAACTTGAAGTGTATGCACCTGTATAGCATATCTGAGAGCGTTATTCAAACCCTGACATTGAAAATATGTAAAATGTCCTTTCGGGAGCATTATGGAACAGCAGGCTGGTAGACTTTGACTTACAACTCTTAAAACTCTCTGTTTAGTGGGTGTTCAAAGTTACAACCACACTGAAAAAAAGCGGCTTATGGCCGTTTTTCACGCTTGCGACCATCGCAGCATCCCCGTGGTCACATGATCAAAATTCAGGCTTCTTGGCAACTGGCATGTATTTATGATAGTTGCCTTGTCCCGGGGTCAGGTGATCACCTTTTGTAACCTCCCCAGCCAGCTTTTGGCAAGCAAAGTCAACGGGGGATACCAAGTTCACTTAATGATTGCATGATTCACTTAACTGCAGTGGTTCACTTAACAACTGTGGCAAAAAGGTCATAAAGTGAGGCAGAACTCAACAACTGCCTCGCTCAGCGACAAAAATTTGGGGCTCCATTGTGATCGTAAGTCAAGGACTACCAGTAATGTGCAGATCCAGCTGCTAACAGAGATGATTGGTCTTGGGAAAAGACAAAATATATTGAAGATCAGTGGACTCTAGTAATGGGTTAAATGGTCTCCCAGGTTTTTTTTTTTAAAAAAATCTTCCTAGTTCAGAGTTGTATAGGGCACATGTAATACAAATGTATTGGAATTTCATAGCACATAGCTATAAAATAATGCAATTACAGTCCCCGAGGTTTTTTAAATACTTTGCAAATATTACAAAAAGCATTAATTGTCTGCTGTAATATACATAAAGCTAAATAAAGAAGGAACTATAGAGGCAATTAAAGCTCTCAATTTGGGAAGTTGTGTAATAAACAGTAAATGTAACGTTAACCGATATACTGTGGGAAATGTGATAGACTTGCTACTCTGGAAGTTTCAGAATGCAGGAAGTCTGTAATGTACAAGGAATCCAAACTTGGCAGCGTTAAAACTTGTGGAATTCAACTCCCAGAATTCCTCAGCCAGCCATGTTGGCTAGTGAATTCTGGGAGTTGAAGTCCACAAGTCTTAACGTTGCCAATTTTGGAAACCCCTGATGTAGAAAACAAAATTTTGTAGGAACTCCGTGGAGGCTCTGACTGGTCACAAAAAGTGAATCAGTTATGCTTGTCCTTTCTTGGGGAAAGACACCTTAAAATGTTATAATCTAACAATAGAACATTATGGGAAGAACAGGTAGATTATTTCTAAATGGGCCTACATCTTTTCCATCATCTTCATTGACCCAGTGATAGAGGCTTTTTAGCATAAGGGGTACTTTATTACAGAATTTGCTAACAAATTATTATTATTATTATTATTATTATTATTATTATTATTATTATTATTATTATTATTATTAGTTAGCAAATTCTGTAATAAACCTGCAAAACATTTAGCTTCTAATACTGTTTTCATGGATTCAGTTGGGGGATTACTACTTTCTTGGACAAATGGAATGATAGTGACCAGCTACTTAAAAGTTTTGCTTAATGGCCAAACTCATTTGCTCTGTATCTTGTGAAGAGAGGCTGCGGAAAACGGGGTTGTTTAGTTTTGAGAAGTTAAACTTCTTTGGGAAGTTAAACAGAAGGTCTATATCATCCCAGAATGTAGTATTTAAGTTAGAGGGTTTAAACTATAGAAAGGCAGATTCTGACTGAACATATTAACAGATAGGCATGTTCAGCATTGTCATGTATGGGGACAGAAATTACCTGTTATTTGTTCCCCATTCAAAATGTTTGGCTCCTTGAGCAGAATCTCTTGTCTCTTGTGTATAGAGAGTCTACATCAGCCACTGGACATCTGTGAAGTAGTCACTCTCCCTAAGTCTGATCTACTCTGCAATTTTCAGCAAAACCTGGAGATGGAACTACCACGTAGGTCTCCTTGAAGTCCTAGAGAAAAAGGCAAGAGGTAGACCCCACAAATAAATAATGTGAAAAGACTTTCCAATAAAGTAACAGTTCTCACCACTTGAGATTGCCTAGGATTTTAATTCAACTTACAGATTTTTGCCAGGCTGACCCCAAGGCTTAGCTAAACTTGCCGTGAGGCCTGCTTTGAAGGAAGGTCTGTTAGAATTCTGGCAGAAATGAAAATAACATTCCACCTGTGCCTCTGCAGAAACTAAAAAGAAATAAGGTGGTGGGAGGGTTTACAGAAGAAGGGAGTAGTAGTATGCTTTTCATTGGAGGGATGAGAATGTGGTTTCTTTGAAGCACAAGATACGCAGTGGAGGAGAGAGGCCTTAAGTGGATATGTTTAATCCTGTCTACATATAGGTAAAATCAAAGCGGTGGTTCAGTGTTTAGGGATAAGTCAGTGTGAGGCAGCAAAGAGAAAAGAACCTTTGTCAAATGGACCGGCCACAGGGTTCAAATGAATACAGGCAACGAAAGTTCTTCCTACTTTTAATCTTGTTTCACTTGTCCTTCTTGGGGCTCTTGATCTTAGTTCACGTGGTGCACATGTGCATTAAATGTGCCTCTGTCCACTCCATCTGGATAGATAGCTGTGTGCTCATTAGCTGGGACGGAGAGTTGGGACTGGCAGAGAATATGCAGTCCTCTGGGCACTTGGTCGCAGAAAAAGGTTGGAGGCCTCCACAACCAAAGCCAAACCTTCCATCCTCCACTTTGTCCTGCCCTTAAAGTTTAGAGCAGACATGTCAAACACAAGGCCCGGGGCCCGGATGCGGTCCGCGAAGTGGTTTCATGTGGCCCGCGAAGCGATCCTGGAAACAATGAGGGAACGGCCCCCGCTGCCTTGGCCCCGGCCCTAGCCGGCCGGGAGCCAATGTACAATTTTGTGGTGGCCATCTATGCTGAAACGCATTCAGTCTTAGCTCCACAAGGCCGTCTGGAAACAGCGAGGAACCAGCCCCTGGGTGCATGCTGGGGAGGTGTCACCCTTTGTGAGGAATGAAGAAATGCACCATCGCCTGGAAGTGGCCAGCAAATGGCCCTCGCCTATTTCACATATCTGGCTTGATGGGCTCTGGCGGAGGGGTTTCAGCAGGCAGTGGATCATGCCTTGGCACTTGCCCCGGTCCCACCCCCTTCTGCCAGAGACCCTCAGATCTGCCTCACTCCTGCCCAGGCCCCTACAGGCACCCTTGACGCGAACCATGTAGAGCTGGCCATGCCCACCCAATAGGCCATACACATTCTGTCCACACCCACCCAATAGGCCCCGAGGGCAACCACAATGCTGATGCGGCCCTCAATGAAATTGAGTTTGACACCCCTGGTTTAGAGTTTTGGCAAACCGATGCTGTCTTTGCATTTTATTGTCAATTCTGCCCTATAAGCCAGAGGTCCCCCAACCTTTTGGGCACCAGGGACCGGTTCCGTGGAGAGAGGTTTTTCCGTGGACCGGAGGGGGTGTGGTTTTGTGTGCTGCCTGCATCCCGCGGATGAGGCTTTTCTTGTTGGTGCGGACCAGTTGTTGGCATGCCGCGGCCCTGTACTGGTCCACAGACCGGGGGTTGGGGACCACTGCTTATAAGCAGCTGGAGGGGAAAGCGAATACAATATATGGATAAAAGAAAGTGCTTCTCTAGGCCCTTGCCAAAATTAGACTGTAACCAGATATGCCTCCCCTGAGATTGCATAAGAGTGAAGTTCCAGCAGGGATAAGCTGTTCATTTGCTTGGGTGGCTTCCCAAAATCATATAAAAATACATTCTTTCCCATTCATGCCTAAAAGGGATGTACAGCTATTTGAATCCAAAACAAGAAGGTGCTTGTCTTTGGATCCGCACAGTCTTGTCAGCGGCACCTTAAAGAGGCCGCTCCCCCTTTTCTGATCTTCACAGCTCCCGCGCGTAACCAGAAGCCAAAGCTTTCGAAGTGCTACTAGGAAGCACCGTGTACAAAGCACCAGATACAAGGGCAGCACCCTTCTAACACAGAGCCCAGATCTGTGGACAGAAACTTGTGAAAATTAGCTCCTTCGTGTAAATCTTCCCTAATTTGGATTTGGATTGCGCTCTTTTAACTTTTAGAATTCTTGGCAGAATGTCCTTACATTGTAGATGGAGGCTAGAGCGTGCCGCCCTGAAGATGTTAGGCACAGTTTATTTATAGACCCATCTCAATTTAAGAAGAAATCAGGGAGGATTGGACCCTTGATAATAAAGAGTACTTTTATTAATTGCTTCTGAACTGAAGTCTGCTGGGCTTCTTGCATTTCTCTTACCTGTGCCACTGCTTGCGTTGACAAAAGCATACATCAAAATGGCAGATTGTGCTTTCCTGAGAATGCTGCTGGGAACAGAACTAAGGTAGGACTAAAGTTGGCACTGTTTAAAAGATGCTGGATGCTGGAAAAAAAAATGGAAATGAAAGCAGTTTGAGCTGACTTGTGCTGAAGGCCATTGCATCTTTTAAAAGACAAAAATTATTTTCATATATCCCAATTCTCAATACACCTGTTTTCGGAGATAGTGGGCTATGGTAGGCTAATGGTAAAAAAATATCTTCCTTTTCCTTGATTCTCTTAATTTTTGCTTTTCAGGAAAGTTTTTTTTTTTTTCAAGCGTTGTTAACATGTTTTATTTGTTGCCGAAATATCTTATCCCTAGGAGGATGAATCTTGAGGTTTCCCAGTATGCCCCACGCTGGTAGCTTTTCCTTCTGAGAAAGTGGTACTTGGGCAGATGATGCCCAAAAGATGTGTGCATTTGTACTGTTTCTTTGCAGTTGGTTATACATGTAAAAGCTGTGAAATCTTGACTTGTTTTCCTTTTTGCTGACCATTTTTTTCTCCCTTTCCCTGGCCGGGGCAGCAAGGTTAGCGTTTCTGCTGCGTGGGGTGAGCTATGGCCAGCAACGTCACCAACAAGACAGATCCCCGTTCCCTAAATTCCCGCGTCTTCATCGGAAACCTCAATACCCTCGTGGTCAAGAAATCCGATGTGGAAGCCATCTTCTCCAAGTACGGCAAGATTGTGGGTTGCTCCGTGCACAAGGGCTTTGCCTTTGTGCAGTATGTGAATGAGCGCAACGCCCGCTCTGCAGTAGCGGGAGAGGATGGCAGGATGATAGCCGGCCAGGTCCTTGGTAAGTTGGCGACTTCCCAGGTTGGCTCCTCCGTTCTCCGTCCCACTGAAAATCGCGGGCGCGGTTCTTCTAGAACTTTTGGGGTTTGCAAACAGAGCCCAGCTGGTTCCCTGTGTAAACATCATGTGTATTGCGACTTTTTTTTTTCTCCTGTTAAGAGATTTCTGGTATTGTAGGAATAGAAAACGGTGAGTGAAAAAAAGGTGCAAGCAGTTAATTAAATATTGGAGAGGGAAGTAGTTTTCAACCTTCCTATGGAGTAGATTTCTGATCTGATCGACCTGATCGGGCTGACAAGCAGACACAGAAAGCAGATTTTATCATGTAGAACTCTTATCTAAACGGAGATGTTATTCTTGCCCTGTCTTGATCTGGAGAACAAGAGGGTAAATTCAAAGAACAGTGCAACGTTCTACTTGATTTACATCTTTCCTGGAAACGTAGAGAAAAACACACACACAGCTTTATTTTTAAAGGCCTTGCTTCACTGAGACACGCTTAAGAATGGTGGACTTTGTCTGAAACCAAATTGCTAAAACCTCATCGCCACCAGAACCCAGATTAATTCCTCGCCTGGCTATTTTACAGTTCGGCAAATAAGTCCACCAGAACAAGTGGCTCACAGGGGTTTTCAGATCATCTGGCCTGCCACGTTTGACGTATTTTAAAAAAAAAATGGAAAGAAAGAAGAAATTCATGGTTTCCCCCCCCCTTCAAGAAAAAGCTCCCTTCCCACTTCCCAACAGTTGTTGGGACCTATTAATGTCGAATACAAAAACATACTCTAGTTCAGACATGCTCAAGCCTTGCTGAAGAGGATTTTTTTTCCCTTTCTTTTCAGAAGACAACATTGTTTTTCCTGCCAGCAGAAGACAAAATTGCTGTTATTTTCCCCTGCTCAATATCCCACCCCCCTCTTCTTAGGAAGATTTTTAGCTTATTTTCTCGCCTAGCCAGTTGCTTCTGAAAGATGATAAGCATAACATTCAGAGGCTCAGTTTACCTACTGTTTTCCTCAGCAACAAAGGACATTTTCTATGTAAACTGAGCCTCTAAATGTTGTGTTTATTAGCACGCCACACACTTTAGATCCTCCTCCTGCTAGGTAAGCAGGTCTTTTAGCCCCAAACTGCCCTTGCTTTTTATGTGGTATGCCATAGCTTGCAAGAAAGTACCACTAGTCCTCGACTTATAACCATAGTACTCGACTTATAACCATAACGGAGCCGAAACGTCTGTTATTAAGTGAGACATTTGTTGTTAAAATCGAGTTTTGCCTCATTTTACAATCTTTCTTGCCAACTGTGGTTAAGTGGACAGTTAAATCGGGTGTCAAACTGCCAAGCCCGCGGGCCGGATGCGTCACACAGAAGCTGTGCCCGCTCCAGCAACGGGGAGAAAAGTTGCGACACGTCACGTGAGGCGGCGAGTTGGACACCCCTGAGTTAAATCGTTAAGCGATGCACTACAGTGTTAAGTTAGTTACATGGTGGTTAAGTGAATCTGGCTTCCCCATTGACTTTGCTTGTCAGAAGGTTGCAAAAGGGGATCACGTGACCCAGGGACGCTGCAAACGTCCTAAATACCAGTCAGTTGCCAAGCGTTTGAATTTTGATCATGGGACCATGGGGGGTGTGCCGCAAGGGTTGTGTGAAAAACAGTCATAAGTCACTTTTTCCATTGCCGTTGGAACTTTGAATGGTCGCTGAGTGAACTGTTGTACACCGAGGACTACCTGTTATTTGTTTCTCGGTTCCGTGACTGCTTTTGGATGGCAGACCTGTCGCCCTGTATAGCTTCCAGACGGTTCACCTCTGTGAGTGGGTCATTCTCTTTCTCCCTCTCTGCTCCCGTTTCAGGCAGCGTGCCAAGGATATTAACTGGGTGTCGTGCCTCAACATGTAAGGAGATGTTTGCAGGCACGCTGCTAGGCGCCGTGCTAGGAAGATGTTAGGCCAGACATGTCAAACACAAGTGGTTTCATGTGGTCCACGAAGCCATCCTGGAAACAGTGAGGGAATGGCCCCCGCTGCCTTGGCCCTGGCCCAGGCCAGCCGGCTGGGAGCCAATGTACAATTTTGTGGTGGCCATCTATGCTGAAACGCATTCAGTCTTAGCTCCACAAGGCCGTCAGGAACCAGCGAGGAACCAGCCCCTGCTGTGTTGGCCCTGCCCCTGGGTGCATGCTGGAGAGGTGTCACCCTTTGTGAGGAATGAAGAAATGGACCATGCCTTGGCGCTTGCCCCGGTCCCCCCCACTTCTGCCAGAGACCCTCAGATCTGTCCCACTCCTGCCCAGGTCCCCACAGGCACCCTTGACGCGATGTAGAGCTGGCCATGCCCACCCAGTAGGCCACACCCACTCCATCCATACCCACCCAGTAGGCCGCACCCCCCCTGGCCACCCCACCCCCCCAGGGCAACCACAATGCTGATGCGTCCCTCAGTGAAATTTGAATTTGACACCCCTGTGTTAGGCTCTCTCTTCATTGGATGCCAGACTATTTAGATGAGCCATGTTAGCGCAGTGGTTAGCGGGCAGTACTGTAGGCTAATTCATTGCTGACCTCTGGGAGTTCGATTCTGACCAGCTCAAAGTTGACTCGGCCTTCCATCCTTCTGAGGTTGATAACATGAGGACTCAGATTGTTGGGGGCAAAACGCTGACTCTGTAAAACCGCTAAAGAGAGGCCTGTAAAGCTCTATGAAGCGGTATGTAAGTCTTAAGTGCTATTGCTGCTTTAATTTGGATTAGAATCTATGGCCTCCAAGGCTTTCCCAGTTCTTAAAAATTTACAAATGTTTTAGATAACAGAATAACAGAGTGGGAAGGGATATTGGAGGTCTTCTAGTCCACCCCCCTGCTCAGTCGGGAGACCTTATACCAGCGGTTCTCAACCTATGGGTCGCGACCCCATTTGGGGTTGATCGACCATTTCACTGGGGTCGCCAAGCAAGGCTGTCCGCCATTTTTTTCCCCTTTTCCGGCGGGTGCCTTACCTCCCTTGGGCTGGGCCAGGTGGTGGTCGGCCTGCTCCGTCTCTGCCGCTTGCCAGCTACGCCTCGGCCGGCGCAGGGGGCGGAACCACGCATGCGCGGCGCTCCCGGGCAGGGAAAGTCCTCGACTTACGACCGGTTGGGTAGTCCTCGACTTACGACCAGTTGGGGGGTCGCGGCATTAAAAAGGTTGAGAACCACTGCCTTATACCATGTTAGGCAAATGGCTGTCCAGTCTCTTCTTAAAAACCTCCAATGTTCGAACACCCACAACTTCTGGAGGCAAGTCGTTCCACTGAGTAATTGTTCTGTCAGGGAATTCCTCCTTAGTTTAAGGTTGAGTCTCTACTTGTTTAGTTTCTATTCATTACTTCTTGTCCTGCCTTCATATAAATCAATGCTGATCTAATTTACTGATGATACAAGGCTGAGAGTGGTGTGATTAAATTCAGAAAGGAACATGCTTGAGTCTATGCATTGAAACACTAAAATCAAAATCACGTGTAGATTTGGGAAGAGCGGTTCATTGTATACATGGAAAAAGGTTCTAGGCATCTATTGGATAATATGCTGAATAAGAGACAGTAACGTGGTTGCTTCAGCATTAACATAAATAGGTTGCCTTAGGACAGTGGTGGCAAACCTATGGCACGGGTGCCAGAGGCGGCACTCAGAGCCCTCTCTGTGGGCACGCACACCGTCGCCCCAGTCCTAGGCCTTCAGCTGGGTTTTATAAAACCTTTTTGCTTTAGGCCTCTGCTGCCATGTGCAAAAAAAAAAAGTTCAATCAATCAACCAATTTCAACTTCTCATGGGAAAAAAAAAGATCTCACAAAGTTGGAATTAATTGATTGAACTTTTTAGTCCCACCCAGTCTGCCGTTACCATAGCAGCCACGCCCACCCAATGGGCCACACCCACCCAATGGGCCACACCCACCCGGCACCCGACGATGCATAAGTGGGTTTTGGGTTGCAGTTTGGGCACTCGGTCTCTAAAAGGTTTGCCATCACTGCCTTAGGAGAAGATTGCTGTCCAGATCAGGAAAAGTACAGTTCTGGTCTGTTCAGTTCTGGGCAAGAGTATATTTGAAGTTTTTGCCTTTGGATCAAGGCTCTACAATTGTAAGAAGAATAATGGCCACTTATATAATGTTTTAAAAAGT